AAAATATTAGAAATTATACCAGACATAAAAATTGCACACAAACATATCAATAAAATAGGCAATTTATACTCTAAAGTCAAAGACAAAGATGAAACTTTAAAACAATCTTCAGTAATCTATAAAATTCCTTGCGAACAATGTAATCAAGTTTATATCGGTCAAACATCAACTGTATTAAAAGATAGGATAACACGACATAAAAGTGATTGTAGAAGAACTATTCTTTCTTGTGCTCTTTCAGAACATTCTACTAAAGAAGGACACGATTTTGATTTTGGAAATTCACAAGTAATTATTCATGAACAAAATTTAAATAAACGTTTGTTTCTAGAAATGGTAGAGATATCTCAAGAACCTTTATGCCTAAATAAAAGAAAGGATATTCAAGATCTCAGTAGTATTTATTCGAACCTACTTACATCTAATTAAATTTATTCCTAAAATTACCTAACTGGTCTAGTGATGACACCAAAAATCAATGTCTATGAGAAACTAGTATTTATACACTTCAAAATTTTATTCTACATATTCTTCTATCTCTTCTATTTTTCTTATATCTATCAATTATTGTTTATTAATTATTTTTCCATATTTTTAACATTTATATTCTGTACAGTTTGATAGTCAAAATAGAATAACAACAATTTTCCGACAATTTGAAAGCTTTTCGACTATAAAATTCTCACTTTGCAAGTAAGTTATAGTTAAAATTTATATGTCCTAGTCATAGTTTTGATTATTCATAATAATAAGATCTTTTATATTGTTGTAGCCCTGACGAAGGCAATAAATAATTGCCGAAAGCTCGGCTTAGTGGAAAACTACTAAAGTTCCAACCCTAATTGGGCTTGGATTATCATGAAACCATTTGTTGCGCTGTTGCAGAGTATGTAAGTACTCGCGGTGCCAACGTTTCCAGAATTGTTGGTGAAAATGTTGAAGTAGTTGCCATCTACTCAAACGATTTAAGCTTATGGCGGACAAATCGGGATCAGGGATAGTAGATAATGGAGCCAGAGTTAAAAAATGACCCGGGGTCAAACTCGAGAGGTCATTGGGATCCGTACTTAACGCAGAAAGCGGACGGGAATTCAAGACCGCTTCGACTTGGGTGAGCACTGTGTACAGTTCCTCGTACGAGAGGATTTGGTCACCGATAAGACGGACCAGATGAAATTTGACACTTTTGATACCAGCTTCCCATAATCCTCCAAAGTGAGGTCCAGCAGGGGGGTTAAATCGCCAATCAATTTTTTCTTCATGGGCAGCTTCGGCAAACACTTCATGGAGGTATTTAGCGGCGCCAACAAAGTTGGTGCCACAGTCACTATGAATCACCGAAACTCTACCACGTCGACTTAGAAATCGTCTCAAGGCAGCAAGAAAAGCAGAGGTGGTCAGATCTGAGGCAAGTTCGAGATGAAGTGCCTTTGTCGCGCAGCATACGAACAGACATAAATAGGCCTTTTGAGATTTGGCACCTCGAGCTCGAGTGAGGGTAATAAAAAAGGGACCGCCAAAGTCGACAGCGGAACATTGAAAGGGTTTTATCTGAGTGACCCTAAAGGAGGGTAAATCACCCATTTTGGGTTGCATGATTGGAGGGTTTACTCGGAAAAATTTTAAGCAATCAGAAGTTACTCGAGTGATTGCTCGTTTCGCAGATAGAATCCAAAAATGTTGTAAAATTAAGTAGTTCAACGTTTGTTTTCCACAATGGAGAAATTTTTCATGAAAGTCCTGAATTATAAGATCGGTCAATCTGTGTTGAGCTGGTAATAAGGCAGGGTGTTTTTGTTCAAATGCAAGTTTGGAATGAACTAAACGACCGCCCACCCTGAGAATACCAAGTTGATCTAGAAAAGGGGAAAGTTTTTTAAGCTGATTTGAACAGCGACGACCCTTTGACAGATTGTCAATATCCTCACTAAACACCATCCCTTGAATATATTTCACTAGCGTCATTAGGGAATTATGCAATTCAACATCTGTGAAAGTATTAGTCGAAATAGTGGGTTCATGACGCATTTTTTGGATCACCCGAAGGCAGTACGAGAATATCCTTAAAATGGTTGGGAGCGAAGAACGTTCACCTAAAAGCCTGGAAACACCATCAATTTCCGTAGTGATAGCACATACTAATTTTCCTTCTTCGGCGAGAACTTCCGGTTGCGGCTTTGAATCGGGTTCAAACTTTGATGCAGGCCACACTTCCTGCGGCAACAGTAACCATGCGGGACCGTGCCACCACAAAGAAGCGTCACACAATTCAGAGGGTAATATGCCCCGAGTAGCGCAGTCGGCGGGGTTAAGTTCCGAGGCAACGTGGTTCCAGTTTTCAGGAGGCACGATATCCTGGATTTGGCTGACTCGATTGGCTACGAAAGTTTTCCATCGAAATGCCGGCGAGCGAATCCAAGCGAGTGAGACCATAGAATCCGACCAAGCGTAAATCCGCGTAAAGTTAACGTCTGAGTAAGTGGCCAAGACAAATTTAAGTAATTTTGCGGCCAAAAAAGACGCACAAAGTTCGAGTCTAGGAAGTGAAATACGTTTTAACGGAGCAACTTTGCTTTTTGCATAAACAAGGAAAGTAGAAATTTTTTGGTTAAAGCAAACCAAACGTGAATAGATACACGCTGAATATCCTAGGCTGGAGGCATCTCCAAAACCGTGGAGCTCAATCGAGACATATGAGGAAAGAAAACAATGTCTAGGGATGCGTAAATTTGACAAACAGGGAAGATCGGCCTTATATTTTTTCCATGTTTTCGCGATATCAGAGGGAGCCACATCATCCCAGGTGAGTCCTTGGACCCAGAGATTTTGCATCAATAATTTAAGGGCGAATGTAACAGGGGCAAGGAAACCTAGAGGGTCAAAAATGCGAGCAATTTCCGAAAGTATGGACCGTTTAGAGCATTCTGATTTTAAAACTTTTATTTCGTAAGAAAATTTATCGAGGTGGGGATACCAACGAAGTCCTAAAACCTTGAAATAGGAATCCGTGTCATCCATTGAAATAGATGTCAATGTTTGGTGAATATCAGAAGGTATAGATGATAAAAATTCCAAGTCGTTACTAGACCATTTTCTCAAATCGAAGCCTCCCAACTTTAAGAGCTGGATTAGTTCGTTCTTGATAAGGATGGCTTCACTTAATGAATTCGCTCCATCAACGACATCATCCACGAAAGTTTGATTAAGAAGAACTTTTGAGGCCCTAGGAAAATCCTCGGAATAATTTTGCGCCAACTCAAGAAGACATCGTAATGCAAGAAATGGCGCACTAGATACTCCATAAGTTACCGTCTTCAGAACAAAATCCTGAATGGGATCTGAAGGGCTAAATCGCCAAATAATGCGTTGATAATCCCAATGACATGAATCAACCCAAATTTGGCGGTACATCATCTTGATGTCAGCAGTGAAGACAACCGAGTAGCGTCGAAAATTTAAAAGAATAGCAGTGATGTCCTTCTGGAGCTTAGGACCGGGTAAAAGCGTTGCGTTTAGGGACTCGCCTTCTGTATTTTTTGCGGATGCGTCAAAGACCACACGAAGCTTGGTGGTAGAAGAATTAGGATTTATTACGCTGTGATGAGGAATATAATACATTTTTTCGGGACGATCTTGAGCGGGTAGGACAGTTGCGATTTTCATGTGTCCCAGGGACAAATACTCATGCATAAAATTGCAATAGGCCTCGTAAGTTTGGGGATTACTTTGTAATCTCCGTTCCAGGCTATAGAATCGACGTAAAGCAATGGAACGTGAATCAGAAAGAAGCGGTTCACCTTTTCTGAATGGCAGGGAAACAATAAACTGTCCATGGGACGTGCGACGGTGCGTATTCACAAACGAACTTTCGGCCAAGAGGTCATCAGAGGAGAGAGTGCTAGCTTGAGGAACTTCTTCAATTTCCCAGAATTGTTGCAACTTTGTTGTAAGATCATCATTTTCAACAAGCGCTGAGAAAGTATAAAGTGGAGTTGGAGTTTGAAAATTGATTTTTCCCATCAGCACCCAGCCAAAAATTGTGTTGAGGGCAACTGGAGATCTTCCACCTCCATCGATTTTTCCAGGCAACCAAATATGAGGAAAAACTGAAGCTCCCAGTAACATGTCGATACTACCTGGAGCGTTAAACGATGGATCAGCTAACTTCAAATTGTTGATGTGATCCCAAGAATCGGTTTTAAAGAATGCGGTTGGCATGTCAGAACATACTTTGGGTAGGATAATAGCTTCTAAATTGACTAACAACTTATTGTTGATAGGAGGACCGATCGAGAATAGCGTCACACCTTGTGATACAAGAGAAGACATTTCGCCAATACCTAAATAAAAGTTTGCTCGACAAGAAAAAGGGTTTACTGTATTCCCAATTTACTTCCAGAATCGTTGAATTGAATAACTGTAACAATCTGCACATGCATAAACGGTCGAAAACAATGAAATTTTTCATCGGTCTTTTCCAGTAAGCATTTCAATTCTATACTATACACTACAAATAAAACTGACTCCTACTGAAAAGGCTCAAAAGCTAAGATGTTTTTCGGCCTCCTAGTTTTTGTTCTACTTGAAAAATGATTAAATCTTCTCCCAATAATGATAAGAGCAAACAGTAAACATTTATTAGAGATTATGTGGACACACTGAACAGTAACTTCTAGCGTGCAATTTGCTTTTTTCTTAGTAGCTTCAAGCGATTTCTCAAAATTAATAATAATCAATGACGGAATAAGAGAAAATAAATCAAAAATAGCAACTGTGTGCTTATCTAATTTAGAGCAAAGAAAATCGAAACTAGAAAGTTTCCCTTTTAAATATTAAAGATAAACATAAAGAACTCCAAAATTAATTATATTACTCGAAACTCGTGAGAGACGGCACATCCTTTAAAACTTAATTATCTTCGAAAGTTTCTCGTTCGCAAGTTTCACCCAAAACCAAGTTATCTAATACATGCTAAATGAAAACTAGAAATTCATAAATACCTGTAGTAATTTAAAATCTGCGCGAAAACTCCTGGATGCCGGTCGAAAAAGAACTCGTTCAGCACCGGATCGTAATTGGCCAAAGCTTCCGTGAGTCTGGATAGTCTCGTGGCTGGAATTTTCTTCAACGTGGCCTTGTAGGTTTCGTAGCGAATTCCGCCGACGTTGAGTATTATCCGATTTTCTCCATCCATACCACCATTTCAGAATTAGTACTGCGTTTTACTTTAGGATAAACCTGAAACAATTTAGATCATATTAGAAATTTGGGCAATAATTTCTAACAATAATTTAGGTGGGCCACCTATTAATGGGCATTTTCACTAAAATAAAAATTCTGCCATCTATTAAGGAGAAGCCTGACCGAGTGATGTCGCCCTCTATCAGAGAGATACATAAATATGAGCTCTATTGATAAAATCCGTAGAGTTTCGACAAATTGGGAATAGGCACATACAAAATGTCTTGAAAGATCAGACCTATTTGAACCAGGAGACCGGAATACCTTTTCACAATGGTAAAAAAAGAATCATATATTGGTAACAGGAGATTCTGGAAAAGTTGGAACAAATACAAGGTACTTTATTAGTTCGTATGACTACCAAGAGATCGATATGGAATCGAAGATATACCGGATATACGAACAACTCAAAATTTTTCATTGTGGAGGTGCTGCGCTGGATTTACTGAACTCATACAAAATACAAATAAACCAGAATTGTTCATTCGTGAAAAACCAATTTATCTAACAAGATAATTAACAATGTCACAGTTTATTTAAATTAAAATAAAATAATGATATTCCGGCCATATGGGCATGTTTGCAAAATTACAATTTCCGTTTGAAATGTTTCTGTATAGGCACAGGACAATTCATGATGATTTTAATTAAATTTTGCTAACTCATGAAAATATTGACAGTAATTAGCGCTAATTGAAAATTAATCTAATTCTTTGTGAATTTCGGTGATAAATTAAAATTAATTAATATGTTTTACGTGTTTTTATCTGGTGGCCTTTATATAGATAGGTATAACACCTTCAATTTATTGCGGGTCCGCCTCGTAAAACCGGCCAAAAAATCTTTTATTTGCTGATCCTCCCAATATTGTGAGAGATTAGGACTTCTGTCAGCTTTTGATGCAAAAAAATAGGGTCAACATTTGAGGGTAAACTCCTCGGCAAGTTCCATCGGGAATTTGAAAATTAGGTTTAAACCTGTTCTTTTGTGTATAAATTATTGTTTTCATTAGAGTTGAACTTTTCACGTTATAAATATCTTGCCGAGCAAACTTTATGTCTTAAGAGAGGTTATAAAACGACTTTGTGTTTGGCAGAGTGGTTTGGTGTTCTAAATTGCAAAACTTTTTGCGATTTTGTCTTGTTTTGTTGCCCAAAAATGGGAAATATTATGTGATTACATTATGTTTAATGTGTCTGTAACACATTAATGTAATGTCTTGTACAAATGCAAGTATTAATTAGACAAACCTGTCGATATTTGCTCAAGGATTGATTTGGATTATCAATAACGTTGAGTGTCTCTTAGTCGCAGTATTAATTATGAAAATTGATTTCATAAAGCCGAAGCGTTGAATATCAGATTTGGTACAAAATTAGACTCAATTGACACCAATGTTGCAAGAACCAGGCTCTTTCTAGTTCTTGATATCATCTGCTTTAAGGGATCCTCAGGAATTTCATATATAAAACTTTAATATTGTCCGAAACCGGCGAAAGTATATGGCCTCATAACAATAAATTATTGGCAAAGACTAATTTTTTTTTCGGGAATGTCTTATCTTTTTAAATTTTTTATAGAAACTCAAATTGTTTGCTCCGACCGACCCTCCGATATAAATCGCAAGGCACTAGTTGCATTTCAATGAGTCGACTCCTGACCTCCATAAACTTTTGGGGTTTTATCTCCATTTATCGTCCTGTTAACCCTGTCTAGATGATGCCTTAGAGTGCTGACTATCTGTTTGTACAAATATATTGACAAAAAAGATTACCTTGTTGGCCATACTTAGGTTTTTGATGTTTTCCAAATCAAATCAAATTTATTTATAAGGTACACAAAATATAGTGTTTTTACACGTCAATAGAACAATAGATAAAAAAAAATACTAACATAACACTCAATTTATACAAAATAAGAAAAGCATATACTAAATAAAATACATGAAACACATAAAGTACCTTACATTTAAAATATTTCTGTGTCCAGGAATTCCTCCATACTGTGATAGGCCCCCTCCATGAGGTGCTGTTTCACGTAAGCATCAAGAGATTTTTTAGGCATACTCTTAACATGATTTGGCAGTTTGTTGTAAAATACCGGACAATAATAATTGATTGATACACAAGATCGTTCCAATATGTGAAAATAGACCCTTATATTATCCCCGCGTCTAGTTAAGTAATCATGATAAGAGCTATTGTTATTATAATATTCTATGTTTTTCCTACAGTAAAGAACACACTCATAGATATACCGACTTGTATTGTCAAGATTTTTAACTGAATAAACTTTTCTTTTACATCATCTCTATATCCGAGCCCCGCCACAATACGTACAGTCCTTCTCTGCAGTGCAAATATACATTTGGCATGTGCTGAATGCCCCCATGTCAGGATACTGTAGACAGCGACGGACTGAAACAATGCATGAAATGTCTGTTTCAATGCGCCTTCCAGAAGTACACCAGACAAGTTTTTTAGCAGAAAAATACTTTCAGTCAGTCATTCTGCTGTGTGGTTCACATGAATTTCGAATTTTAGTGTAGGATCAAAATACACTCTAAGAAATTTCACTTCCTCGACATTTTCATGTATTTCTCTCAGCCCATACGCCATATGCACAGTTTTTGTTTCATTTAAAGTTAGTCTATTGGAAACAAACCACTTCTTTAGATCATCCATCTTTGCATTCACTCTCAACTCTTCCAGATTTAGCCCTGAATCACTGACAAGCATTCACAGACAAGTGTGGATTTTATTTGATAGCTGTTGAGTGCTTTAATCGACGCTTGACTGTCTGAGCAGAAAAGGATATTTTTGCCTGTGTTAGGTTTTCTCACAGACAGGAGTCGATGGCACATATATCTGCTTGGAATACTTGTGTATTATCCCAGAGGTTGACTGATGTCGCATCTGGGACTTTGTCCATATATTTGAGCGCCGGTTCCAGTTTCTGTTTTGGAGCCGTCGGTAAACCAGACAATTTCTTGTTTAAGTGTTGCCCCGGTATTTCCTACTGGGACAATCTCGATGGCGTGTTTCATCATCATCATCATCTTCATCTTCATTTTCATAATCATTATCATCGTCGTCAGTTCATCTTGTATAGCAACATCCCTCAAACTATGCCATTTCTTCTCTCCTCAGCGACCGATTTTCATTTCTGAATGCAAATGATCTTGGACGCCATTCTATGACCCTCTTTGTCCAACCCTTTTTATAACGTTCCATTACTTGTAACTTGCCAATATTTTTTCTTGTTCCGTTATCTCCAGGTATTTATTCAGATACTTGATTCAAGACTTTGGAAATATCAGTGTCGGTCTTTTTATTTTTAATTGCTAAAATATGTCGACACTTTCTATAGGTTCTCGTTTGTTCTTCGTCACGTTACCATCTGGATTTTTAATCTTATGTATTCCTTTTTTTCCTATAACGTTTTTTCTTCTCAAGTCCTTCAGATGCTTAGCATGTACTATAGCTTTCTTGACGCCATCTGAATTCTTATTTCCTTGGATAATATTTTGTTGATATTTTTTGATCCTTTGCTCATCTTGTCTGTTTTTTTTGTTCAATTTTTACCTTGTTGTGTAGCCCCTTTTGTTAATGAATTAACAATTGGCCCATAATATGCTCAGTTTGCTTAGCGCATAATTATTAGGGGTGCGTCAATAGTTTAATAAATACAGAATGGCAAGGGCTCCACTGAATTTGAAAAAAAAAATAAAAATAGTTAAATTACATTAAATATTGAAGTGTGAAAATTCAGAAACATACCTATAAAAAAAAAATTAGCAAACGATAATCGATAATTCTGAGAAGGAAAAAAAATAAGGCTATGGCATACAAGTCAACCAAATCTTGACATAGGTACAACTAATAAAACACTTAAGCAATTTTCAAATCAAAATAGTATATATTTTCATAGTGAAGTCAATGATCAAGAATTAAAAAAAAAAATTCTATGAGTATTGAATAATATGCGTAATATACATTCATTTTCTATTGATTAATATGAATGATTACTCATACAGTGAGTTTTTTTTCATGACCTACTGAATTGTTTTCAACCAATGAAAATATCCTGGTCTCATAACTCCACTATTTAAGAGCCAATCAGAAAACCTTCCAATCGGTCATTTTGACAGCAGATTTGGACAAGACTTGTGCTAGCCTAACCACTCACTTTGTCATCCAGCTGTCGGAATTGTCAATTAATTTTGTTACGAAAATTAAATAAAAAACCGCATAACTCGTGTCTATCATTTATTAATTATAGAAAAAGTTGTAACAGGCCAAAATTGCATAAATGATTCTTACCTACTTTCAATTTTATATTCAAGATTTCCTTAAATTTGTCAGCATTTTCTCTATAAAATTTCATCAATAATCTCAACGGTTGTAGATCCTGTAAATTTTCTAATTTTCCATAGTCAAATTCTATTTGCTGTAATGGTTTTTTCCTCATTTTAATCCATATTTTAATTCAATTCTAAAGCAAAACAAGGCAATATTTTGATTTTGATTTTAAATTCGATCATCTGTTTCATAACAAAAATAATTCATGTGTCAAAAATATTTCGTGGGTTGTGTTCCGTAATCATGATGACCCGTGTTCAAGTGGGTGTACCGTTCGTACTGACTGTTCGGTTATGGAGCGATATTGATCTCGGCGCAAATTCTAGCGTACCCCGTTTAGTTGCGCATTGGTTCGATGTCCTTTGAGATATCTGGAACACACCCTTTGATTTCGTTTCTTTGACTTTTGATTGTCAAAAATTTCTGTCAACCAGCGGTGGAGAAGTGATGTTTTCAGTATCGTCGATTCTTCCTTGAGCTCTCTAATTTTGAAAACGGAACATTTACTCTATTTTGTATTCTCCAAGTTTTGATTGTTTTATGGGATGATTATTGGTTGTTGATCAGGGGCGGCTTCTCAATAAGTGCGCTCGTGCGCGCGCACTGCCTCCAAAAACCAAGCAAGAAAATAAAATT